ACAACCCTGTGACAACATGCGTTTTGTACTGCTGTTACACAGCACAAAACGCATAACAAGGAAAGGTTGACTGGCAGGGCTGGATTTGCAGTAAATGCGAATGTCTGATCCTTGCATCGACTGCCTTTTCTGCGTCTAGTATTGCAGCAGGTGTGCAGAAAATTCATTTAAGCTGGTACTGCTCTGTCAGTGAGATTGGGATAAGATATATTTATTCACCAAACAGGGCAATTTGCTTTTAGATACGAAAAAGGAAAAGACTGGAGGACAGGACGGGATAGATGGACGCTGCACTGCTAAGCATTTGTGAGCGTGTGTTTGTGTCAGCCTTGTTCTGCATCTTTTAATCAGAAAACATTAATCTCTCACTGGAAATTGAACTTCAATAAATTTCATTTACCAGAATTGGTGAAGGTGATCGAGGTGCTTACCGGGAATTTTGCTTATCTCGGCCATTTCAGTAGTTTGTTTCTCTGCTTTTTCTCTCGTCGATGCGCCTTGCCTGCCACTGCCCTTTTTCGACTTTCTCTTTTAGCTTGTTCTTGCACTGTGCTCATATCTGACAGTGGTGCGAATAGAATCGGTGTTCAGAATTGATTCATGTCCAGTCTAAAATTCTTAAACCTTATTCTTGTTACCATCACTGATGACGTCATAAATCTGGACGATTTCAAGGACATTAGAATCTGACCGAACCATTTCGTACTAGACCTCTAGAAAAAACAAAAGTTTGCTAAGGCGTATTTTCTGCGAGTGAGGAATGCGGTTCCTTCGGCTTCTTGCTGCGGTCATTTCATGTCAGATCAGTTGTACTAGCATCTGTTCAGCTGATTTTACTGCCTGTCCCTCCGTGCACTGGCGTCGTTTGTTTTTTCTCCACTTATTTGAAAAAGAAAGTGCCAAAAAATTCATCTCTGCACGGCGTCATTTTGCTTCAGGCTTATTCGGGCAGGTCGAGCACATTTTATAGTGGACACTTTATTCTGCGTGTGATTCATAACGTTGTTCAGCGTCGGAGTTGTTGATGTTTTGCCTTGGAACCAACTGTTCTATGGCAACTACTAAAACTCGGCTCGGCTCGGCCGGTGCGTTTTGCGCCCCAGTGAGGCGTCTGCCATC